ATCAGGGTTTTCTTGTCTTTGCAATTCATTTGTATGAGTTCTGTAAGCAATAAAGATATTTATCATCTAAATATTAATTTCAAACATTTACTATATGAATTTAAAAATGATTTCAAAACATTTTCTCTTGACAATTATGATTTTAATATTCTTCCCACAGTTAAAAACTTGGTTTTCACTACAGTTATTTATTCAAGCAGCCTACCTGATTATCTGCTCCAGAATCATCTTTTTTGGTCGTCAGTGGTACCTTTGTGCCTACGTTAAAGAAAAAAGTCAAAACTTCAGATGTAAAAACCACACAGTATTGGAGAAAAACTGTAGGGGAGAGTGAAAAGACTGGGATTCTAAATCAGTCTCTTCATGTATCGGCTATCTAACTCTGACCAGGCACTTCCCTCTCTGGGCTTGTTTCCTTTCACTGTAAAGTGAAGGAAGATGCCCATTAATTACACTCCATAGCAGCGGTCCTCAATCTTGTCAGCACCAGGGACCAGTGTTTCTATGAGACTCTAATGCCTGATGATCTGAGGTGGAGCTGAGGCAGTGATGCTAGCGCTGGGGAGCAGCTGCAAATACAGATGAAACTTGGCTCAATCACGTGCCACTCACTTCCTAGTGTTGAGGGGGTTGAGGATCTCTGCTCTATAGTCCATTTCTGTTTAAAAGTGTATGATTCTTCACCTGCCATTTCTGATATGAAGCTATTGCTACTTACCTAAAACACCAAAAAGAACTCTTTGAGAGATTATCACGATAATGACTATCCCATACAAATGACCATTTTAAAATCATTTTTCTACCTTAAAAAAATATGGTGACTGGAATATTATGCAGCTTAAGTATCATCCTTTTATTGGTTTATCTAAAAGAAGACAGGGCATAATCAAAAACAATATTCTCTATACTCACATAAAACATTTGTACCAGAGGTGGGATGATCCTCAACGAGTTCCACAAAGTTAAGGGGGAAAATTCCAGTTTTGTCTCGAAGTTCTCCTCTGGCCCATTCTTCATTCACATACTCTTTAAGAATGATCATTTCTCCCTCTGAGAAACTTAACTCATCTTTCTGGTCTCCAATATATTCAAACCGAGCAACACATCTTGGACCTCTGAACAAAGATCACACTTATGTGTTAAACAGAGTACTAACTTTCAAAATGTGTTAAAACCTTCATTCAGTCTTTCAAAAAATATTTATTCTGTGTTTACTATGGAACGAGGTATACTAGTTTTTTACCATAAAAAGAATAAGCTACATTTCTAAATCATAGTCCTTACTTTTTAGATACGAACCTATTTACTCAGAGGCTAAAATCAATGTCACGGAGACACAAAGAAGTCCATCAGCTGGTGGTCAGTTTACAATGCCATGTACTCTATCACCTTTACTTCATTACAGAATCCCCTAGTCCACACATCTCTGTATTCTTGGACCACAGTAATCCACGGCCCAGTCTGAACCCTCTCAATTATAAACGCCCTGAGTTTAGAAGTGCTAACCCTAAGAATCCCAGGGCAAGACGTCAAATTTCCATGACAGGATGCAGTGCAGTGGGTATCAGCTTGTCAATATATGTTGACTCGATCAGTGAGTTGTGTATATAGATGACTGGTCTTCAAAACTAGAAGGTTCAAAGAAAACAGACACTAGGCACATAATAACACTTAATTTTGTACGTAACACTGTTGTGTTAGGCACAAAAAACTTCATTTCTGAGAATTAGAACAATCCTTAAATGATCTGCAATTCATACTGAAATTAAGATAAAAGCAGAGATAAAATTGTGTCTCTAGGAGGCATGATTTAATACCAAACCTTAGATTTGGGGCTTTAGAAAGGAAGTTTCAATAGCGACAGGCTAAGGAGATGAAACTCTCTGAAGAGAAAAGACTGGTACTGTCTCCCATCAAATTTTGATTTAAGTCAGGACAATGGATCAACGGCTGTGAAAGCCCACTTTAAATTCAACCAGCTGACACATTAAATGCTGCTTAAAAATAGGAGAAAATTTGAACCTAAAATAGAATTCAACTTTTGTGGCATCAGAAGTTTTCTTATTTATGGTAACCTTTGCATTTATTTTCTAAAGTCCTCAAGGGGCATCTCTTTATGTCTGACCTATTCAAAGACAGGTTTACAATCTTCAGCAGGTAGTGAATTCTGTTAATTTGCTCATTTAACTGGAATATAAAGTTGCATTGTGGCAGTGTTGTAAATTAAGGAGTTACACTGATGCATAAAAGGGTACATAAATTGATGGAAAGGTTTTCAGACATAAAGGAAGATCCCTCCGACTTAAATCTTACTTTACTTTCTTCTAGAAAGCAAAAGTAACTTCTAGAAAGTACTGCTAAACAATACAAAATGTGTAGCAGTTATTGTAGGGTCCATATTTCTAAAAGGTTTAAATATTTTCAGTGACAAAAATATTTGAAACTTCTAAAAATGTGTTGGTAGATGAACACCAGAGGGCCAAAATAAAATATAGTGAATGAAAAAAACCATCTCTGCTCAAGCTGAGGCTAGACTGTGGGAAGCATCAGGCTAGACTGTTTGCTGCTGTCTATATGTTCTGTATTGATATGGAGAGTTGCTTATGTCAGCTTCCATTAGCTTGTCGCATTTTCATCTGAATTTCAATCCACTATGGCTTTTAAACAAGGATAGGTTTTCCTCATAATTAAAAAAGACATACTGAGAACCAATGATCACATATCTGAAGTATTTAAGCTCGGTAATTCTTTATGACATAAATGCTGGTCTCCTTTGTATTTTGTGCAAAAGAACATAAATAAAACTTACTTGATGGAATGAGATGAAACTGATTCTCTTTTCTCATTTCCTCCTTCTGGAATATCAACCTAGTAAAGACAATTGTATAATTTCAGATTTTAGTAAGGTAAATTTAAGACTAGGTAATTAGGAAATGCATGACTGAAATTAACAAGTTTACCTAGGTGTTAAATTGATTAAGTGGTTCCAAAGGTGCTAAAAGATTAGAAATCCAGAATTTGGATTTTGAAAAAAAATGCATAACTTGTGACACAGCCTTTCTTGAATAGCCAATCAATCCTTTTCTTATTTGCTGGGGTAAGCATATTAATATCTTTCTACCCTGATTGAGTTTTCTCTATCCCATATCCTCTAAGTTGAAAACTTCAGATGAGGAAGACTCAAGATAGAAACTAGACATCAAGCATTCGGGCACAACCACACCTATTCAAAGTGCTAGAAGAATTCTGCAATGCTTTCTTGACCACCAAATAAAACACTTTAATCACATTTGTGGATTCTCTCCATTTTCATAACTCAAATTTTTTCCCCCTATAATGTGAATAAGGAAGAAAGGAATTAGTATTCGGTGAGCATACTAAGTGGC